TTTTATTAATGTAATAACTTGTTTTTGCAATGTAATTAACCATGAGACCCATTGAGCTTAAAAGTGGACTTAATTTGATTTATAGTCAAATCAACACGAATATCCCTTTACATTTTATACTAATTTGGTGATTTTTAACCAAATCCTTCATGAAGCCATGGTCATTCAACTGCACCTTTTATCCGCTAAATCATAATTTTTATTGAATAAACTATTCACTTTTGAGCTAATTTATTATTATATAGTTATGCACTTTTGATTGTGCTATTTGACATTATTCAAATTTATGCAATTCTTACTGCATTTAACCCAATTTTTACTTGTTGTTTTGTTTTAATTATTATGAATTTACTCTCGTAGAAGGTTTTTGTAACTAATGTACTAGTTACAAGAGATTAAGTACGTTTTTCGAGATTAAGGTTGAGATTGTTAGAACTGGCGTGATCACGCCCCATATGGGCGTAACCATGCTAGGATCAGATGGACAGGACCACGCCGCCCGATTAATAGGGTGACGTGATCATGCCTAGATTGGGCGTGACCACATTGCCTGATCCATAAAGTTAACGTGACCATGCTGAAGAAGCGGGAAACATTTTTTAGAAGAAATTTCTGCTAAATTTGAGACAATTGCTATAAAAATGGACTTTATGGTAGCATTGAGGAAGCATGGATCATTAGAGACGGTTGGAGGCAGATATTGAGAGCTTTTGTGAGAGAGAGAGTTTCTACCTTATGGCTTGCTTCTTTGCTTAAGGTTGAGGTCGTAAGGGTTGTATTTCTTTCTCCTCCTTTTATTTTTTTATTGTTTTAGATAGAATATTGTATAAGAGGGAGAACTTCTACTTTGGTGGAGAGGAAAAATTATTTTGTAAGTGTTTTTTTTTTTTCAGGTTATGCTTGTTGAAGCACCAAAATTTACCGTAAAGTAGTTAACCATACAACACAAGTGCACGTGTCAAGTAGTAATGCGGTTCAAAAGTGCCACATATCGATCTCACATGGAATGTATAATATTTATCTACACAGAAAAATTTCTAGTTTACTAATTTAGTTAACTTAGGTTAGCATTTATTAAAAGGAGCTTTTTAAGTCTTAAGGTCCTAGGAAAGTAGAATACTTAGTAATTGAATAAAAAACAAAAAAACAGTAGGATTGTTCGTGAGTTTCTTCAAGATAGATGAGACACATGCCTTTGTGATTTGAGAATCGTAACGATCGCTTTTCCTACGTGATTATTGTGAATCAGGGACATAATACTCCTTATGTATATGTCTAGATCAAAAAAACCTAAAATCCATGAAGTTGAGGCTTTCTCAATCCCTATCACATTTCGCATGACTTTTTCGATCACCTAGGATGATTGTAGAATTCCACTGGAATATGTCTATCATCTCGGAATTATGTGATGAACTCTTTGTTTTCACTATGCAACGATTAAAGATTGTAGTTTCACGAAATATTTTAACATCACAGTTGGCCAGACTAGAAGTAAATTAAGTTTGGAGGTTAGCAACAACATAAGCCATGAAAGCACAAAAAATGATCAATGGAAAAACATTATGGAAAATCTACGATAAATCCACCACTCACTACATTACAAAGGCACGAAAAGAACTTAGCTTCTCATTATGGAGAAACTATAGCGAAAAACACTTATATGAAAATTCATTGAAAGCAACATAAATATGAAAAACTTACAAGAATTTGTTTTCTCTGCAAAAGGCGACACATGTCCCTCTCATACAAAATCTTTCACAACTCACAAAGTAAAGAAAAACTATCCCTTGAAGGTTGACCCAATGCGGAAGACAACCCTCAAGAGATTCCTCAAAATCTCTTATAAACTCTCTTCTTTAAGCCTCTAAGCATTCTCTAATGCAGAACTCCCTCCAAGAAGCCCTAAGATTTATATAAAAAATTGTGGTTTGGGCCATCAACTTTTTTTCTAAAGTGTTTCTCGCTCGTTGACGTGGTCACTCCCGTTTCCGACGTGGTCATGCCGTTGAACTACCAAGGTCGATGTGGTCACACCCGATTGTGGGGTGGTCATGTCGCCCTACTACGTCATATGGCGTGGTCATGCTGGCCATGTTCGATAAGTGGTGTGGTCATGCCACCTTTAAGCGTGGTCACGTCACTTCGAGGCACTTTTTTGTTGGATTTTCTCGCTCCAACTTGTTCATATTCAATTTCCTACATCCTAGAAACATGAACAAAAAACATTTCTCAAGTGTAAATCTGTGAAAAATAAATAAAATTAATATGTAAAATGCAGGAATAATAACATATAAAATCACGTAAAATTGACGCATGTGATTTAAGACCCATGATTTTGTGATTTTCACAGATTATTTTTCCAATAATGTTTTTTTGAGCTCCCATGCCAAATTTATTGTGTTAAACTTTGCACTTCATTTAATCATAGTTTGACCAATTAGAATGTTAACAGCTTCATGATCTACTACTTTTTGCCCGCCGCATAGAGGAACGAATGAGTTAATCATAAAATCCTGATAAGAATAGACATATTCTATTAAGAATTTGTAATCTAGAAATGAGATTGGATTAATCCTAGGAAATGTCATGGGGTTAAGAGAAACTTAATTTTATGCGTTCTAATTTCTCTTTTGACCTAAGCATAAGCTTAAGAAGAATATTTTATCCACGTTGGCAACTATCAGGTTGGGGATCATCTTGAAAAATCACAAACCACCACAACACTTAAATCACAGAAACGCAAGCCTCATCTCCCTTGAAGAATCATAAAATTTCTCCGCTTTCTTGTTTTCCAACATGTGCTTTTGATTTATGTTTATAATTAGGATTGTAGGAATTCAATCTCTTACTTGTGATCATGCTAAAGCGGGTTTAGATTTTTAGTAAATTAGAAATTCACTTGTTGGAATATTTCTTAGTTCTTTCCTCATATGATCGATATACGGTACTCTGAATCCACAATATTACTTAATATGTATACTTGCATGATACGACTGATTTGCTTCACAACAACTTTCTGAGCTGTCACCATGCACTTTTGGTCAAGATTATTCTTAGTGTAGTCATGCATTTATAAATACATTTTCACCACAATCTAATTATGCTCTTATAATTACAACTTTAATAAAATAGCTATGCTCTTTTGATGAAATCTATCATTTATCTATTCATACAATTTTGAACCTTAGTATTTTCATAAATACTACTTTTGTTGAATTCTATCCTAATTTATACACTTTTTACTTAATTACTATGTTATTTTGTCGTATCTTGTGGTTGAAGTTCTTTTAGATCTTCTTCTAAAAGAGACTCTACTCTTACTTTTATTTTTATGGAATTGTGAATGGTTATGAGGATGAATAAATGGAAAAGATAAACATAAGAAAAAATAGTGCACCTACAATAAGCTTTTGATCTTAAATCATATAAGAACTTGTGAGTAAATTTATTAACATTATAATTAAGGAAAAAAATTAGGAATAAAGGATGGTTGTGAGACTCTCACACAGACTTTTGCAAAGTCAAACTGGAACTATTAATAGTAATGTTATCAACTACAATGTCAATGCAAAGCTAACTCCCCCTTTGACATCCCAATTTTATTCCAACAAAATATCAAAAGTTATGGAGGAATATCAACACTTTTTAAATAGTCTAAATTCTCGTGATCATTTTCTTAAACAAGAAAGTTTTACCATTTAGAAAATAGAGATATGTATTCTGCATAATATCATAACCCTCACAGCAAGAAAAATTGAGCATATATATATATATATATATATATATATATCACCAACAAATGTAAGATTCAAAATAAAATTTAAGATTTCATTTTTTTCTTTAATAATAGCGAAAAAAAGTGGAGATGTAAATTGGATGCTCACTTGCCATATGTCCAACGAGAGTCAATTCTATCAAAACTGTCCTACTAAATGATTTCAATAAAAAAAAAAAATCACATCAATAACAACCACTATAATAAATGAAAATGATAAATACTTGCTTTTGGTATTGTGAAAGTTAATAAGAACTTTTTTTAATTGATGATACTTTCTAGAATGATAAATACTTACTTTTGGCTAAATTTTGAGGCATTGCCTCAAGAAGGAAGAGATGATCATTACAAGAAGTAAAGCTATGAAAAGCTTTTAGGTTTGTGAAGCTAAAACCAAAAGAGGGGAGATGTTGGGTTGGGAAATCTCATTGACTAAAAAAGCTTTATGAAGCTCAAATAGGACAAGGGAATATAATAGTGGAGAAAAGAGAGAAAAAGCATGCACCCCCCACAAGCGAAACCCAAAGATAGCTTGGAAAATCCTACAATTATCCCAAGAGTATGGGAGATTTCTTCAATGGAAAAAAAAAAAAAAAAGAATTGTTGTCATAGGTACCAGAAAGTTGTGAATACGTTACAATATTCACAAAGCTACTCTACCATTTGTTACTCATCTTAATTATCTTGGGATTTTTCAATATTGTAATTTTTACATTTTGAAATTACACTATCATTGATTTATTATGTATTGATAATTTATAGTATAAAAAATTCAAAATATAATGAAAAATTTTTGTTAAATCTAAAAATTGAGTTAAATAATTTGAGTCTTTTACTCATTATTTAAAAAAAATAAATCATAAATATATATCTGTAATATATAATATTAAAAAATAAATTCAGAGAATGGTTCGAGGATCAAAAATATATTTCGTTTAGTGAATCTCACGTTTAGACAATGATGATGATCCAATCATATTATTGTGCATTTCAGATGATCAAATCATAATCATTGTCCGAACTTGCAGAAACGGGAGATGGAACATCCCCAAAGAAGGGTGCTCATATATGGTTGAAAGATAAAAAGCTAGTATGATCGAACGGTTCCTAAGGTTGCTCAACCGGAAAATCAATTGGCTATCAACGGCTCGCATTCATAATGGCATATCCGTAATTCATCTTGACTTGAAAGCCGACCACTCCTCTTATTTGCTCAGTATGGTTTAACTTTTCAATAGTGGGAATCGGATGGTGGGCAAGCGACCTGCACTTCCCGTTTTCGTCGGTTTTCTGCCAAGAGATAGGAAGAAGTAAAGGAGGGGAAGCGTGAAACTTCAACTGGAAACTCACATAAGTGGGGATCGAAGTCGAATAACTTGTGGTCTCAGGTTCCGATTCGATCCCTTTTTCCCAGGAAATCTATGATTTTCTCTTTTCCCATATGCTGCTCTGAATCCAGGCCATCGAAGCTTGAGGAGCAGCTCTGGTCAGGGCTCTCCATGATACTGGGAAGCGAACTTAGGGGTTTGGTGATCTGAAATTGTATTTGATCGGACTTTGGCTTTGGAGACATGCGCATCTCGGAGTTGGAAGAGGGAATCAAGGCAGAGGAGCCGGGGTCGGTAGATGACGGCAGGATCGGGGCGTTCAATCCGAAGAGGACGATAGTTGGAGTTGGGGCGAGGTTTCTTTTCTATCCCACGCTTCTTTATAACGTTCTGCGGAATAAGATCCAGGTGGAGTTCCGCTGGTGGGACGAGGTTGATCAGGTTTGTTGTTAATTTTTTCAAATTCCTTAATTGTTTATTTCAATCGATGCTTTTATTTGATTTATGGATTAGGGCTTGCTGATGTGTTAGATTTAATTTAAGAGAGAGAGAGAGAGAGGGAGAGAGGCTTGCTAATCTATAAATCCGCAATTGGATTGAGAAGTGGCTTGATTGATTTTACTTTTACTTAATGTTGCATTTAGAAACCCATGCTAATTGGCGGATCCTAATCGAGGAAAGTAAAACGAATAAAAATTAGGGGATAGCTGAGCTACTGTTTATGGAAGGTTTTTGATTGAAGTACTCCGACACATGAAATTGATACTTCATCAATTATAAGGAAACTCACATACAAGTGCTTATGTTTTTTTGGCGAGAGCTGAATTATAATTGGAAATTGCATGCACTTATTGTTATTATTTGAGGTCAAAGTGGCGATCCATCCCTGAATAGGAGAGCATATGCTTTATGTAGTGTTCCTGTTGTCATTTTCTTATTTGCATGGTAAAATATGTTTAAATGTTGTTGTTATGGGTAAAATCCATAGAATATGATGAATTAATTTGAGTGTTTTAACATGCTTTTTTTTATGCCACTAAAAATTGCACAAACCATCTAGTATTCATGTTTGTGTTTTGATGCTTCAATTGGCGTTGTTAATGTTATCATCATCTCAGGTGAATTCATTGTACAGCCGCATGTGTGTTCCTTTTTTTTTTTTTTTTGGCTATGGAAAATGGGATCTGTTCTTATTTCTTTGTTTACTACAGGCTATTGACATCCTTTCATTTGTTGGAGGAGGCCAGCTTTTTCCTTTGTGTTCTAAAGATTGTTGACTTTAATTTTGAAAAGTGTTTATTGTAACCTTAAAAGCATTCTGTGTGCAAATAACAATATGAGTTAGTTTTGAATGGAATCTTTGCAAAAAAATTATTGATTTTGAGTAAGATAAGTAAAAATGTGCCTTTTTTGAAAAAGAAAATTTCGGAAATTTTCTGGAGATTGATTACATTTTGATGCTGTAAATGCCATTTGTTGTGGTCAACTATGATATTTTGTAATTATTTCCATTGCACTTCTATGCCTATTTCATCGTTTATAAATCATTTTTCATTGTATTTTGCACTCGATTTTTTGAAGTAATTGTTTCCTAAGGGCTTGCTGGTTGTTTGATCTCTTCATCTTTACAATTCCTTATTTAAGTGCAACATTGACTATATATTGTTGCTTGAATTTAACCACCATAAAGGAGACTGGAGGCTTTAGAAGCTATCTGCTATTGTCGCCAGTTCACCACCTTTGGGGGGTTATTTTAAAAGTTGTGTGGAACTGTTGTGTTTGTAACCCTAATACAAAATCATTAGTCAACTTGCATTTTTAGACAGACATTGGTACTGCCAGACCATCTGAATTGGTTAATAGTACATATACTTGATTATGATGCGAGCTACATGGCTCAGGTTTCAATTATTTTGCATCGACTTGTGTTGAGTTGTATTTTGACCTGTTCAATTGATTTGATACTTCACTTCATACATATTTGTTTGAATCATAGTTTTGTTTCTGTTTCAATTATTCCATTTTATTTATTTTCATGAATTTTGCCGTGTTTTAGTGTTTTCACAGATCCTCGGTGCTATAGAGTGGATTACATGTACTCAAGGACATATAAGAGTCAATACTAACACCTTTTTTTAATCAGTTTTTGCTGTTAGGAGCTGTTCCTTTCCCTGGTGATATTCCTCACCTAAAGCAGCTTGGTGTGGGCGGAGTGGTCACTTTGAATGAACCATATGAGACATTGGTGCCCACATCCCTTTACCAAGTGAGTAATCATTATAACGCGTTTTTAGATACTAAAATATTTGCATGAATATATTATTTTTTCTTGCATCTTTTAATTGCTTCAGTTTAAGAACCTTATATTCTAAATTTATTAAAAATATTGTATAAATGTATGAATAATTGTAAAGCCTTTTTTTTATTATTATGATTAGGAGTATTGCTCGGTGTTTTGATTTTCCTTCTTAGGGGTTGATTTGCAGGTTGCATTTTATGCTTTATAGCTGAAAGTACATAGCTTGTTTATAACACAATTATTTAATTTGAGAAATATATTGGTTTTTTTGTCGGTGTTGAGAATGATGGGTGTTAAAAGTGTGTTTTAAGGCATAGTGAGTACGTTTTTGTGCCTCCTTTTTAAGATGACCGGTTATTTAAAAGCCCCTTGAGGGATTACGTTATTGGCCCTTTGAGGATAAAGCTGTTTCATTGGCATTGTCATGTATTAGGATCAGATTACTGTTTCTGATTATAATTAAGAAATCATGACGTTTTCATTACTATATGACCTGTCGGATAAATGTTGTAACGTAAATGTTGGTTGTGTGATCGGTTAACTGATTTTAGGGCCATGACATTGAGTAGCTGAGTTTAGAACTACACGCCTCTGAAATTTTCTACCGGTTTTGCACTTGAATTGGATGTCACAAATAAACAGAAGTAACAATGTTTTTACTGCAGGTATTTTTTGTATGAGTCCCGCCGGACAATTAGATTTAATGTATGAGTTGGGATTTCAAAAAATTTACTCTTTATGAAAATGAGATTGTTTCTTCCATTTTATTGAACTAGATGTTACAGCGGTGCCCGACCTATGGGCAATTTTGTCTTTTTTATGCCTAAGGCCAATTTAGTCTTATATTATTTATTATTTTTTATTATAAATAGACCCTAATGGGTTTAGGGTTTAGGCATGGATTGTTATAAGTTATAGGTTTAGAGTTTGAGGAGATTTCCTACCTCTCGAATTGTAGATGTTTATCTTTGTATTTTTTTTTTGTCATTAACGAAGAAATTTTGGTTTGCCTTAATTTCTATGAAAAATTTTGTCGATTTCTACGTCAAATCGTATCAAATTGTATCAGAGTATCTATTTGGGAAGCTGAGAAGAAAAAATGTGATCAGCTCAAGCGGATCGCAACTCTTATAGGAAAAATAAAAAGGATCGTTGCGTACATACAACTTTGATTGATCACGCAAAAGTTGTGTTATAGTAGCGATCGAGCAAGCAAACAATCGAGGACTCGCCAACAGGCAAGTGGCAACAAGATTGCTTGTACCAAAGGGATTGCAAGATATGCATACCCAGAACGCCAATCTTCTCCTAATCCTGCTCCGTGGACGCAATACAGCCGCTATTAGAACTCCAACGATCGCTTTATACATAATCTCACTCATATGCTATAAGCTCAATGCAGTGATCCAGCTATTTGACAAGTAACATCGAGATTGTAGGGAAGCATCATCAGATTGTTGTGTGTCAATTGTCGAGAGACAATCCTACGCTTGTTGGGAAGAGGCGAATCTAGCGTTATAGCCGTGATTGTAGCTAGTTGAAGTCTTGCGATCTAGTAGGGATACCACTTATTTGGGAAGCCAATGACGAACTGTGGCGATTCAATCTCGATTCAATCTAGCTAGGAAGCCAATATGGGATCACAACTTAGAAGTGTTTTGCCTTCATGATCAAAAATCTTCTTTGGAGTAATGAGAGCTAAGAAAGTAGAGGATTTGGAGAAAAAGCTGGAGGAGAAGATGAGTCAAATCAGATCTGGGATGGAGGAAATGTTCGCCACATTACAAGGAAGGATTTCCTACATGGAAAACTAATTTAAGGGCTAATTCGAGAGCTTGGAAGAGATGTTGAGAAAGCTTATTGAGATGCAATTCAAGACCCACCATCAATTCAATTTGCAAGCCCTAACCAATGGGTGATCGGAGAAACCTTGGCTAAATTGTAAGGGAATGAGATCAAACAAGAAGAACACCAGAAGGAAAGCATCCCATATTAAGAATGCTCTCCTAGGGCTCCGATCGGGGGTGGATTAGAAATTTTTGATGGAGGCGTTTGAGGCGAAATATGGAGAAGAGGCTATGCAAGGGTATGGAGGAGCAAAAAGAATTGAGGAGAGAAGCAAAGATGGGATATGGCTATGATCAAAGGAGGGACTTTTTCCCTCGATACATGAGGGCAACAATAGAGAGAGGATTTTTTAGGTGGAGATGCTATGGTTAGGAAGTTGAAGATGCCTAACTTCGATGGGGAATATACACATGGGTGAGTGTATCAGATTGAGAGATATTTGAAAGTAAATGGGCTAAATGGGAGGGGGGGGGGGGGGGGGGGGGGGGAGGATTGAAATGAACTTAGGGACTCTTAGAGAAGCTCTCAGAGAGGTTTGGAAGGCCTCAGTGAAAAATTTTTACCACCCCCCTCCATGGCAGCAGAGTCATATTTGGAGTGGAAGATCCTAGTATGCTTTTAGTGGAGGGAGACTAGATACTTAATCCACGAGTGGGAAGAATTTAATGATTGCTTGTTAGAATGTTTTTGAGTCATTCAAAAAGAAAACCTATACGAGCAATTTTTTGCATTGACTTAATGAGGGACTATCATAAAATATAGGGAGAGATTCGAGCTCTTGTCGGACAACTGAGGGAAATTTCTGAAACAGTATTAGAGGGAAATTTCATGATGGTTCTAAAGCCTGACCTACATGCAACACTTCAGCCACTTGGGCTGCAAGATTTGGGAGAAATTATGAAATTGGTGCAGTTGGTTGAAGAGCATAATGCCATAGAATAGGCTAATATAAGCAACAATGCAGGTGGAGCGTCATGCAGAACTACTGCAACCACTACAATACCAAAATCTCAAATAGTTGAAGTTCAGAGGGAGGCTTAATAGGACAAGAATCATGAGCCACAATGAGGAGCAACGCTCAGGCGTCTTTTAGCTACAGAGGTTCAGGAGAAGCATGCCAAAGAGTTATGTTTTGTGTATGATGAGAAGTTTACCTCAAGACATCGTTGCAAGGATGGAACATTATAGGTATTATGAGGAGGCAGAGGATGAAGAAATAGGGACGGCGATGGTGGAGAAGAAATACCCTCACTCTTT